GCCAGCTCAGGACACGTTAAAAACACATCAAAGGCTGATGCCAGACTGAACAAATGCCGCTTCTCAGCTGTGGCTTTTTTTTCCATCCTCCCTCCCCTCGCCAAGGAGGAGCTGTCAACAAGAAGGTCACGGTCCCACCTGCCAGGAGCGAGACACAGGGACGTCCCCGGGGACAGGCTGGAACGAGAAGCAGTGGGACGAAACCTGTGCTGCAGCAGGCTGCCGTGCGCTCAGCCTATAAATAGAGGCCTTCAGTCGAATTAATTTTAACTATGGCTGCTGTCAGCAAAACTAAACTGGCTTGGCAATGCGTGCAGATGGGAGACTCACCGTATTTTTCATTGAAAAGCTCTTTGACTTGCTCTCGGAGAATCACCTTCTCTCCGAGCCTGTTGGCATCATCCTCATCTGCAAAGCGAAAAAGGACAGGGAATAAAATACCCCGTTTCTCCCTGAGCCCCTGGAAAACCCATCCCGCTGTCACAAGGCACGACCGTGTCTCTCCCCCTCTGCCCCAGCGCGGCGTGGGGACACCTCTGAGGCGGCTGCTCTGCGCTTGCACCTTGCGTCGCCTTTTAGAGCCGTGCAAAGTGCCTATAAATGCTGCCAAATCTGCATTTGCCACGCGCTGCCACGGCTGAGAGCATTTTACATCCACTTTGCGGTGCTGTAAATGACTGCAAAATATGCAAAGCAACGGAGACTCCGGCCCTCAGTGCCACGAATGCTCCCACAAGTGATATCAAGGAATGAGATAGCACTTTTATAGCTGGGCTCCTAAGTACAGTATTGTTTTATAATATGCCATATAATCAGCTTGGCTTTACTAGCTTTTTTAATTATCCTCATCACGCCAAACAGTTTCTCCTCCATTCTCTCATTTCAAACGACATGCCTCTGTCAGTAGATTTTTTTTTTCCCCCACCTATTCAGCATCCTCAGGGGGCTCCAGGAAAAACCACTGGGGTCAGCACCGGCCCCCTTTGATGCTTTTTCACCCCGCAGGTATAAAGCACCGACCGCATGAACCTTATCTGCCTCTCGCCACGATCACCCCTCCAGCACCGGGCCGGCTCTTTTTTTTGCGCGCGGAGGCGTCACGACCGCGAGCCCTGCAAACCTCGGCGTGAGGGACCCGAGCATCCACCGCTCCCTGTCTGCAGCTGTTTAATTTGATTTTGAGCAATCACGTGATTTTGATTTTGGTTTTAAGCAATCGCACGGCTTGCAATTTTGTTGTAAAGGCAAGCTGGAAACCGGACGCGCGTCCCTGCCTCCCTGCGCTCAGCACCCCCAGCAGAAATCACGCGCCTCGGCCACCCTGCTGCTGGGGGTCCTGGAGAGAAGCCGGCACCCTTAAATCTCCACACCCTGCTACTGCAGGGTACGGCCTCAAAAACCTCTTTTCCACCTGGAAAACAATAGTTTTGTCTGGATATAACTAGGGGAAAAAAAAAAAAGAGAGAAGCTTCTGTGAAGGAACCTCAGGGCCAAGTCGTGCTTCAAATCCAGAAATGGCAACAAAGCAGCGTGAAAGGGATGGAGGGAAAAAAAAGAAAGAATAAAAAAAGAAAAAAGAAAATCAAATAAATGTCACCAAGGAGCTCTGATTTCAAGAACCTTGTGGTGCCGCTCCCGAGGCCACGGCAAGCCGGCGGGGGCAAACCCTGCGGGGTCCCTCTGTGACTTCCTTGTCATTGATGCTCAGTTTCTGGGCTGTGCATACACACCCATACGGATGTGTAGATGGTAGCAGACAAAGAAACACCAAAATTCAGTGTTCTCACTTGTTTAATTCTCTGGGACTGAAAAACGCAGCAGGTATTTCCTTTCCGCTCATGCCCCGAGCGACCCAAGTGCAAGAAACAACATCCCAAGGGGTTTTTTTTCCGCCTTGCAGTGGGCAGGATTCCCAAATTCCCATCCAAGAACACAAACAAATTCCATGAAAAACCTGGAACTGAGCATGCATAACAGAGAAGCCAGAGAGGAGGCTCTGGCTAGCGGTGCCGCTTCCTGGTGACCTGCCCCTCCGTCCCCAGGCGGCTCCGGACAGGAGGGATCTCCATCTACCTTTCAGTTTGGGAAATAATCGACTCAAGGACGCCGCCGGCACCCCTGGGATGTGCTGAGTCCTTCCCATAAGGCAGGTTTATGCAAGCTGCTGGCTTCAGCTCCGTGCTATCACTTTTAAGTTTTTTTTCTTTTAATTAAAAAAAGTAGCCACTTGATTGACTTTTTTTTTTCCAATCCTGCTTGCCTGAAGCGAGGAGCCCCATTCTCTCCATAGGCACTTACGTACAAATGGTGACAATTTTTAAAACACCCATTTTCTCTTTTCCAATAGGGCTTGTCAGAGCTTGACATTTCTTTCAGAAAAGCCAAGTCCTATTTAGTAGTTATTAAAAACGGGGTTTAGGGGTCTGCTGTTGGACAGCAGGATCCAAAACAGCGCCTGTTCTTCTCGTGACTTTAAAAAACAACAACAAACCCAAATCCAAGGTATCCCATGGATAAATAACGGGTTCGTGGTGCCATGTGCACCCTGATCTCGGTGGGGAAGCCGTGGCACAGCCGGGCAGGGTACCCGCAGAGCCTTCCTCCTCCCCGTGCCACCGCCAGCATCCCGGGGTGCAGCTCCAGGCGATGCACATCCTCCACCCACGGTAACGACCTCCCGTTATCCGAACACCCGGCATGAAGCTCGTTTCATCAAGGAGACAGCCACCACCCAACACATCCCACCCGGAAAGCGGCTCAGGACCCTTCTTCAGGCAATCCCGGTCGTGTCAAAGAAACACTCGGCCAGGTGATCAGCGTGCTTACGACGGTCAGGATTTGGCCCCGAATCTTAAGAGGATAAACACACGCCTCTTCCCCCCCCTTCCAGCTTCAATGGGTGCAATGCAGTTTTACCCCTGTTCCAATCCGGAATAAACCCGCTGACGTTACTGAGGCTATTCCACAGTAACTCAGGTTTAAGTACAGTTCGAATCAGCTCGACATATGCACGTTTTTAAAGCGGAGCTATAAACTTGCGGGAGCAGGCAATTAACATCTAGACACACGGCCAGAATTCCAGCTGATGGGACTAAAGCGGGATCTGCCGGAGATACGCCGTGCCCTGCTGCAGATACAGGCAGGCAAGCTCTTCTTTACTCCTGCAAATTAGCGTATGTGTTAAAGCCCCGGAG